ATATATATATATATATATATATATATATATATGTAAATATATATATATATATATATATATATATATATATATATATATATATATATATATATATATATATATATATATATATATATATATATATATATATATATATATATATTGGTACACCTAACCCTTATATAACCCTTATATTAATTTATGTAGGTTACTCATTTATATAAAGAGTAGATGCGTGATAAAATTTTAACTTATAAATAACCCAGTAAACAAAGATCGTTTCAGAATCGGTCAATATATAGTCGAAATTGGTCGAAAAATGGATAAAACATTTAGCGATCTATAATTAGATAAAAATTGACGTTTGGGTTGAAATGTATATTTCAAACCTTTTTATATATACGTTTACTAAACTTCGGTCTAACGTTTAAAATATTGACTTACATTAGTCAATATTGTTAACCTTAATTAAACGTAAACATTTATAGATTTAAAATCTACGCTTTAAATCTTTTAATATATACATTTATTAAACACGATCAAAGGTTTATAATATTAATTAATATAAGACAATCTACCTTCCTAAATACCAACAAATCAATGGATTCCAATGTTTTAAAAATTATTGATGGTGACATTGACACAGTTAAAAAATATGAGTTGCTGGTCTCTTGTTATGAAAGTGCTGCTGCAAGAGCTTTTTTCGTATTATAAACAGTTTAAATTCATTTTGTAAACGCTAATATGATTGTGTAATAGTACGTATTCATCATTGCAATAATCAACAGGTTTAATAAGTAAATATTTATTTTTTTATTTTAGATGCATTTTAGCGTAATTTAGTAACATTTTCTTAGGAAAATTTGTGGAGCAGAGCTAGTGAAAAGCACTGCATACGTTATGTCGCAACGTTACTAATTTTTTAATGTCAAAAATAAAAATTGATGGATGGTACAGGAAATTTCGAAAACCTCCATTTAGAAAATCCTCTATATGTAAAGTTGTTCTGTGTAATTGCAATTTTGATTTATGAAATTATATTTAAAATGCTAACTATTTTATCCTAGTTTTTTGCGCTTACAAGTCAGGTTGCAAAATCAGACGATAGGGATACGAATATAGAAGATGATGTTGCACAAACAGGTACAAGATAAACGAGCGGTAGACGGTATTCTGAAATGATTTTGATAATGCATAAACCAGAGAAAACAGTGATCCAAAATATGTGTTTATGAGTTTATTAATTTTATTAGTAGTCTTTGACTTAATCTTAATGTAAACTCTTATTTTTATAATTATTGAAACATAAACAATTATTGTGCGCAAACATTTTTTCTCTAAATCCCCACTATATGAAAACGTTTTTTATAAGTTTATAACTTTATATAAAATAAAAGTATAGTATAAGTAGTATAGTATAAATGTCTATAAAAATATTATAATAGTTATATATTTCAGTTTTTCTTTTTTAAAAAGAATTGTCTTCAGCAGAATTTTAAAAACTACAAATTAGACTTAGCGCTAAAAGTTTTTATTTCCTTAACTAGGACCAGGCCTAACTTCAAATACTGCCCCTCCCCCTCTCCGAAGATTTTCGAAATAACCCCTTCCCTTCCCTCGCCCCATTTTCCATACAATCGGATAGACAATAAATTTATGTTTATAATTATCGACCCACTTTTGATTTTGATGATTTTGATTTATGATATTTAAATTTTATATTAAAACTAATTTTATTTTTGGTTTTTTGGTTTTTTATTATTTACATAAACTTTTGTCAATTAATTTTAATCGTCAAAGCTTCATTTGTATCATTACCGGTTTTGTTTTTAGTTGTGTATAAAAAAAGACTTTTTGGAATTTTTATTCGAAATTTTTATCAAATTCGAAAATTAAAAGTAATGATTGGCTAAAACTTTGAAACTAAAATAAAATAAAAAAGATGAGGGATCGTCCATAAATTAACTAACGCTTAATTTCAATAATAAACAAACCAAAAAAAATCACAACTTTTCCAGTGCCGAACTTTTAATTGAACCAAATAGAAATGACTTTCAGGCTTTAAAATGGGCCCCATATTGACTTGTCCCCTTGCGGACCCTGCCGGCCCATAGTTTTGCTACTGACTAGGAGGGCATATATTGAATCAAATTTAAAACAATTACATCTCAAATTTATATTATTCCTCTACTTGGTAGCGCCCCAAAAGGCCTCTACACTCTGACTTGGCAGCACCAATTAGACAAAAACGCTTACAATTCCCCCCGTTTTAATAGCTCGATATTCATTTATAAGATAGGTAGTTAGGCCAAACTAAGCATGAAAATTGGGTAAATCTTTTTAAAGATCGATACGCCGATGAATGCTACCAAACCTTCCGCTACAACTTTATTGAATGCTGCCATGGATTTATTCCGTGCGCCTCCTTCAAACCAACAAAACGCAGGCAGTCTTCACTCAGCAAACTTCTAATGTTAACTAAACTCAAAAAAAAAAACTTTGGTATCTCAACCGCAACAGCAAATGGTAAATCGTTCCTCTTATAAGTAGAGGCTACAATCTCGCTCATAACCTTATCAAAAAAGCTTCCTGCATTATAATTAGAGAATTCGAACACAATATAGCCGACGACAAATGGAATATAAACGTCTCTGCTTTATGTTAACAGCAAACGAGATGTCAGCAATCAAATATCTTCTATGTGCTTATCTTTTGGGGAAATAAACAAAAACCGAGGATTCATTGCCAATTTACTAAATATTCAGTTTTAGTCAGTATTCACGGTTAAGCCGTCAGATCAAATTTTAACCATCCTTCATCAAATGCACAACGGCTTTAATCTCCTTCGTTATCTTCACTTATGACTTCGTTCAGAAACACTTATCTGCTATCAACGCCAACAAATCAACTGGAGGTGACCATATCAGCCCATTTGTGTTTAAAAAATATGCCAATCCGGCGGTTGCCCACTTACCATTATTTTTTAGAATCATTAGATAAAGGCGTATTCCCAAGGTTGTGGCTTTTGAAAAACGTAATGCCACTGTTCAAAAAAGGCTCCAGACTTGACCTAGCAAATTACAGGCCAATCTCCTTCACCTCTGTACCATGCAAAATAATAAAAAAAAGATAAAAGAAAAGTTCATGGAGCATCTTGCAGCCAAAGCGACTTCATCAATGAACAAGCCTGCATCACAAATCAACTCAAGACCATAGACTTTCTAACCTACAGCGTATCTCATAAACTTCCTCACAGAAGACTATTGCAAAAATTTGAATCCTACGGAAAAAAGAATTTTGCATTAGGAATCCTACGGTATCCTAAGATAAAATTCTTGACTAGATTAATACTTTTCTTTCAAACAGATCACAACGCATTCTTCTCCGTAACACCTTATCCAACTGAGAACAAGTTGCCAGTAGTGTTCCACAAGGTTCAGTGTTAGGTCCTAAGCTTTACATAATTTTTATCAACGACTTACCCAAACACGTAAGGAGCTAAATGTCAAGAAATGCAAAGTTGTGCACATCAACTAATACAACGTTTTGCCACACGTTTACTCGATGAACAAGTATACCCGCTAACAGCAAAGTCAGCTGAATAGAACTCTAGTTAACAACATCCAAAAAAGACCTAGGAGTTCAAGTTACCAACAACTTAACCATGAAAATCAAGCTAAAATTGCCGTCAATAATGTTCTTGGAATCTTAAAACACACCTTCATCAGCAGAGACACCAAACTATGGAAAAAGCCTTACATATCTATATATGCGTAACGAAGCGCTTCGACTACAGGTAGAAATGCATCAAACTCGGACTCACCTCACTATTTGATACGTTTATGCGGCAACCTCAACCTAAAATACAAATTAGAAAACAACATTAACTCAGTTAGCTGGTATGTTGCTCTACTTAGCATCCCAACAAGCTACGGTCATCGCAAACACTTTCATTGTGAAATGGACAACAACTGCCTTGGTTGATTCAACTTTTCTAACAAATTCATCGCTCACCGATGGAATGCACTACTAAACGAAGTTTTATAGTGCAATCATAGACGACGACACGGGTTTCGAAGTGGAGGGGCACAATCGTCTATCTCTAAAAAAAAGTCCCGGCTATTAGCGTAATTTAACCAAGAAATTAAATTTTTTTTAACACAATAAAACTTACATTAAAATGTTTAAATTAAAAAACAAACTATTATCTACTGTTTAATAAAACGGAAAATTCTATACAATTCTGTAAAAAATAAAGTTCAAAAAAAATATTTCCCTTTAAAAAATAATCAATAAAAACTAAAAATACAAAATAAGTTGACCAATTTAGGCCGTTCCATCATACCCGCAGTAGTTACAAGCAAAAACAATGACAAAAAAAAAATAAATAAAAATAAAAAGTCTAAAATTTATTAATAAAAAAAGTAAAATTAGTGAAAAATTATGTTTATGTAGAATGACGCTTAACGCAAGTGTAAAAAAAAATTTTATGAATGCTTAAATACAACTAAAGTTTTCAAATAGTTTGCTCAGCGAGTTTGTTTTATCTCACAAATATTTATCGCATTAGCTCATAAAAATAGGTATGAGCAATACTAATAAATATGTTTATAAATTAGTTTTTCTGCATTTAACCTCTATTAAAATATTTACGCCTTTTTGGTAAAGCTTTCATTAATTGAAATATATAAATTTATATGATCAGTCAAATAATATAGTTGCTTTTTTTTCTTACGTTTTTGAAATTTGTTTTTTCTGACGTTTCGTACCTATGACAATACTTTTGGACCGCGAGGTAACTTACAACAAAATAGAACTATATAATTTTTTAAAAATACTTTGTTTTTAAATAATTTAGTTTTATTTACAATTTAATATACAAAAAAAATTAATATATTGTTTGTAATGGTCATTTTGATTATCTTAAAATTTTTTATATTTTTCGATTTTATAAAAGTTTTCATAAAACTGTAAATTGATGTTGTTAAATTTATACAAATGCACTTTTTTTTTATAGCACATAAAATTTTGTACAGGAATAAAAACAAATGGCTTCAGATGCTTTCCTGATTAAATTACTTTTTAGTGTATTTTTTAAAAGATTAGCTTTTTTTGAAATATTAGAATAATGAATTACAAAAATGTTAATTTTGTTAAATTATTCTGGGCAACTTTTATGTTCATTAAAATCAATGGAGAAAAACCACACATAATATTGATTGTTGCTGATGATCTAGTATGTTGTTTTTTTACTTTTTAGTTAAACATTTTTTTAATCCGAAAAATAATGTTATCTAATACATTTTTTATACTTAATTTAGACTTTAAACTTTGTTTTTTTTTGACTGTATTTTAATCAGTTATCTTTTTAACAGTTACTAAAATTTTAAAACATAAATTAGTTAAAACACATGTAAAACATTATTTTTTTATTAAGTGCATACTCTTATGCACACCGAATTTGTTATACTTACTGTAAATAATTAACAAAAAGTCAAACATTATTTGTG